AAAAAAAAAAAAGTATGTTTCAACAGTTGAGTGTCACGTTTTCAGTGGTTCTGTGAAACTATTGTTAAACTACTTCAATCATACGTTGCTCTATTGCTGTTGAGAGCAAAACTGACAGTAAATGATCAGGCTCTAGATAATTCCTGTACAATTTTTTTTTCTGTTTTTTTCTCCCTCAGAAACAGCGGTATAGCAAAAAGACAGGAAAACAGAAACCATAGTATCATAAATTTATTTTTTACTGTTTTTTAGAGTAAAAAATTGAAAACATTAAAACTACAGCACATAAATTCAGTTCGATGTAATTCAAGTTGACAGTGATTCGTAGTGCTACTGTTCGTATAAGTTTTGAATTATTTTAAAACACTAACAAAGTTCTTCTTGTTAATAAGAAAGTGTGAAAGAATCTACACTCTATTTGTGAAGGCTTCAAACAAGGTAACTTTGAAATTCTAAATTTTTTTTTGTTAATATACAACTTTTACGTCTAAAAATTAAATGTTTTCAAGAGACTTTTTTGAACTGTAGCAGATTGTTTCGTGCAGCACAACATTTCCGTTAAGAATTACGAGTCATGTCATCAGGATATATTTCAACGGTTTGTGATACATTCCTTGGACTTGTAAACTTCAATTCTCCTCCTCGATTCTGCTTTTTCTACCTTTACTGTTGAATTTAAATTTCCAAAAATTTTTTTCTGTTACACTTTTCTCTCGGAACAATTAAATTATTGCTTTTTCTACAATTTACCAAGAAGCTGTCAGATCACAGTTTATGACTGTGGTTCCGCCCGCTCAGCTCTTGAAATTTACTCGGCAACCATTAACATATCAGTCAAAATAGCAAAAAAGGAACGATAATTTATGCCGTCTGATCTAGGAGAACCTTGTGGGTACTATAGGCACAATAATATGATAACAACACAACAGTATTTCTTTAGATTTGACTACAGTGTGAAAGAATTTGCTCGTTCAGAGCCGAGACAGAAAAGTTTTTGCAAACAGCAGAAACAGTTCAAAAATCAGCAAACAAATAGAAAAGAAAATGGCAAGAACTCTAAAAGATACTGAAGACATTGGCTTTGCACTATGATTCTGTCTATGGTAACACCTAATACATGCGATAACTTTGTGGAAGCTAAGGGAATTGCAAAATTGGACGTCTTGGTTAAACTAATTGCTTATCGAAAGCTAATGCATTAGTATTTTGTGCGATGACTTCCTAACTTGCTTTACTGGTAATGTAGATCAAATTGAATTAAAGCGTATTCGAGGATATTCCAACAAAATTTGCGTTTTTTTACAATCCAATTTTTTGGTCAAAATGAAAGTATTTAATGCTAAGTTTATTCAAATAGCTTTTAGTGTTTCTGAGCCAAATTTTGCACCAAACTATTTTTATGCTATAAGTTTTATATAATTTTTTATATTAAAGAAGTATTCGGTGAAAAAAAGAGGTTTAATAAAAATCAGTTCAAGTATTTTAAAATTGAGGTGTAAAACATTTGAAAAAATTGAAATTTTTTACTTCTTTCATTCGTTAATTCCTAAACGGAAGGCAAAAAACAAGTGGTTCAACTGATCAATAGGTAGGATAAAGGAGACAAAAAAATAGTAAGTGTTTTATATACTTCGAAAATTATTTCCAATCTAAGAAATTAAAGAGACTTTTGTTTTGTTTAATCCTTTTTTCTTTGAATAATTCAAGATTTAAGAAGTTCTTTCTAGACATCACTTTCCATGTATTTTCGGTGCTCCTGAAATGTGGTGAATGGTTAAGTGCGATGAATGTTACCGACCACTGAATAAAGTGACATCGTCACCGCAGAGACGTTCAGATAAACATGGATACAGGGCAACATATTGACGAGTGAATTGCTGTAATCCTTAAAAATGTTTGATGTTTGAAGTGGTTTTTCACTTATTCAACAAGGTTGTAAACGAAAAATTAAAATACGACATAAAACTTTTAACTTGAAAATTTTCCCATAATAGTTGACATAGTTTTTTTTTTCATCTTCTCAACTACTTTTGCCATCTCTAACGTAGTTTTTTTCAATGTGTGTTGTCAACGGTTCAGTGCAGCAAAACAATAATCAAAAAAAGTTATTTTTTTTTCTGGAGCTGTATCGTTCTGGACAATTCATTCCATCAAATTAATTCATAAAATTTAAGCGATCAAACAGCTAAACAGTTCCCCAAATTTTTACATAACTTTTAACTTTGATATATATGGTGTCGTTGAAGAATGCCGCTTATTAGAACAGTTTTTATTCAGTTTAAAATTTGTTGTTGCTTTAACAAACTGTTGAAGTGTTGCATTTGTATAAATTTTTCAGCTTCTTTTTTATCCGCTCATCATTGGTGTCAGTGTCGTCATTATCACCTATTTACGATGTTTCATTAAAACGATCTGTCAACACCACTACACATGAATGTTGCAATTATCATATTTTTTACTGATTTGTACTGTAACAACAATTTTACCTCTCGTCTATTCAAGTTTGTTTTTTTATTGCCTCATTTTTATGTCACTCTTTTATTCATTAGTCTTGTCATAAATTTTTTCTGCATTTTCCTTCATTATGATATATTACCCAGTGACAGCCGTTGTTAAGTGTAAAGAAGCGGAACTTTCCACAGATAAATTTTCTAGAGGGGAAAAAAAAAAGCATAAAATTTTCTCATATCGTTTTCTATCGTTTTCAAATGTTTTCAAATATTTTAACACTGATTTTTTGAAAACCAAAATTTCTTTTTTATTTAAATACCTTTTCACCATAATAGCATCAGAAATATTTGTTAAGCTAAGCTGAAGCAAAAATTATTGTTAAATCAACTTTTTTTTACATGTATCCAATTATTACCTAGAGAGCAGAGACTATTGGATTTGCCTAAATAGTTAATCTAAAGTGTTACAAATGAATAATACTGTTATTTTCAGTTTGTAATACGAATTCCAATGCAGCTAATAAGAATTCAATACTGAACATAAAAAGTTAGTTTTCTGTTATGTAATAAAGCAGAAAAAAAAAGAACATTAATTGGTACAAAAATTTATTTATTTTAGATGCTTTTTTTTCCAATTCTATATCCGTATTCCCTGAATAACGCCAACATTACAAAAAATTTATATGGTTTTGTAAACTGTCAACTGAAAGACATTTTGTTGACTCCAGAAAAAAAAAACATTACTTCAATTGTCACATGTACTTTTAGAATTTCTTGGTGGTAACATAGAAATCGATATTTGGTGGTTCCCTATTATTAAATGGCGTAAGTTTACTTTCGACTGTCTCACCGTTCAATGCACCTATGATTTATAAGTATCTGGAACTAACTAGACCATTGTAAATTGCTAGTAACACTCACAAGTAAACAAGTGAAAATAATAGAGAAAAAATCAGTCCAGAACCAGCAAATAATCTACAGTAGGAAGCTTGCAGATTAACTTTACAAATCAACAACTACTTTCAGCCAGTCTTCTGGGTCAGTATAAAATTCGTTATCCATGTGACCTTTGTTGCCAAGATTTTGATGCTTTTTTAACGCCACATTGTCGGTGGCGGAACGAGTGGACAATATGTGGTAGCGGTGACGAATTTGACTGGGTACGTGCCAAGAATCCATGGGGTGAGGATGAAGGACTGACTATATTTGGGACCGAGGATACCGCAAGTAACAGTTCTTTCCAGTCCCTTTATTTTGGAGCTTTATTCTTTTCTGCTACCAAGCAACTCGCAAGTTATTCAAAAAATATGATACAAAGTTTAAAAATGAACAGAACTTCATTGTATGCAAGTTTCTTCCAGTCCTTGAAAGTCAAGAATACGATCGAAAATTTGGCAATTCATTCTGTTAGCATTCTAAAATACCACTACTCTTAGCGTAATTAGACAGCACAGGGAAGAACCTTATACAATTTAAAACACATTTACAGATGGCTACTTTATTATGACCGGTACTACAAAGAAATCACATCCCGAATTTTCAGCAATGCTTGTCAGTGATCCCATACAATGTCAGCAAGGTATTGGTGTCAATTTCGATCCCACTTTTTAATACAAAATTTGACTGCTTTTGGATAAAAAATACAAACGTACAATAAAGATACCTTTCTTTTTTCCTCTGTCGGCTAGATGTTCGAAAAAAAAAAGTTAACCGCAAGATATACCACAGCACTGTTCCAGGTGACGGAATTTTGTCATTCAAATACTGGACAAGCCCCGGAGTCAAGATTCGAGCTTGCGTTCGAAAACCCGGAGCTGGCAAAATTTATGAGTGGTGTGGGGATGATTACGTGACTGGTGACCCAGGTCCTGCCAATATTACCATTCCGGGGTCAATATTGTATACTTTTGAGGTACAGGTTATCAGTCAGAAATACTGATGTAAATGCTTCTCTGGGAATTCGACACTCGTCTCAGCATTAACTTGATTTCTGCAGCGCCAAAAGTTTCGCATCAAAGCACATATATTCAAAGCTCAATAAAAATCTTTTTTTTAAATTTTTTCTTTTAAAGTTCAAA